AGCTGTGAAAGTCAGCATCTAGCCTGGCCACCACTGTGTGAATCAGTATTTCAGTCTGACCAAGGCTGTGAAAGTCAGCATCTAGCCTGGCCACCACTGTGTGAATCAGTATTTCAGTCTGAGGGTAGCTGTGAAAGTCAGCATCTAGCCTGGCCACCACTGTGTGAATCAGTATTTCAGTCTGACCAAGGCTGTGAAAGTCAGCATCTAGCCTGGCCACCACTGTGTGAATCAGTATTTCAGTCTGAGGGTAGCTGTGAAAGTCAGCATCTAGCCTGGCCACCACTGTGTGAATCAGTATTTCAGTCTGACCAAGGCTGTGAAAGTCAGCATCTAGCCTGGCCACCACTGTGTGAATCAGTATTTCAGTCTGAGGGTAGCTGTGAAAGTCAGCATCTAGCCTGGCCACCACTGTGTGAATCAGTATTTCAGTCTGAGGGTAGCTGTGAAAGTCAGCATCTAGCCTGGCCACCACTGTGTGAATCAGTATTTCAGTCTGAGGGTAGCTGTGAAAGTCAGCATCTAGCCTGGCCACCACTGTGTGAATCAGTATTTCAGTCTGAGGGTAGCTGTGAAAGTCAGCATCTAGCCTGGCCACCACTGTGTGAATCAGTATTTCAGTCTGAGGGTAGCTGTGAAAGTCAGCATCTAGCCTGGCCACCACTGTGTGAATCAGTATTTCAGTCTGAGGGTAGCTGTGAAAGTCAGCATCTAGCCTGGCCACCACTGTGTGAATCAGTATTTCAGTCTGACCAAGGCTGTGAAAGTCAGCATCTAGCCTGGCCACCACTGTGTGAATCAGTATTTCAGTCTGAGGGTAGCTGTGAAAGTCAGCATCTAGCCTGGCCACCACTGTGTGAATCAGTATTTCAGTCTGAGGGTAGCTGTGAAAGTCAGCATCTAGCCTGGCCACCACTGTGTGAATCAGTATTTCAGTCTGAGGGTAGCTGTGAAAGTCAGCATCTAGCCTGGCCACCACTGTGTGAATCAGTATTTCAGTCTGAGGGTAGCTGTGAAAGTCAGCATCTAGCCTGGCCACCACTGTGTGAATCAGTATTTCAGTCTGAGGGTAGCTGTGAAAGTCAGCATCTAGCCTGGCCACCACTGTGTGAATCAGTATTATAGTCTGACCAAGGCTGTGAAAGTCAGCATCTAGCCTGGCCACCACTGTGTGAATCAGTATTTCAGTCTCACCAAGGCTGTGAAAGTCAGCATCTAGCCTGGACACCACTGTGTGAATCAGTATTTTAGTCTGAGGGCGGCTGTGAAAGTCAATATCTAGCCTGGCCACCACTGTGTGAATCAGTATTTTAGTCTGAGGGCGGCTGTGAAAGTCAGCATCTAGCCTGGCCTACACTGTGTGATTCAGTATTTCAGTCTGAGGGTAGCTGTGAAAGTCAGCATCTAGCCTGGCCACCACTGTGTGAATCAGTATTTTAGTCTGAGGGCGGCTGTGAAAGGCAATATCTAGCCTGGCCACCACTGTGTGAATTAGTATTTTAGTCTGAGGGCGGCTGTGAAAGTCAGTATCTAGCCTGGCCACCACTGCGTGATTCAGTATTTCAGTCTGAGGGTAGCTGTGAAAGTCAGTATTCTAGTCATCCACCACTTTAAAAATTGACTTTTAATCTGGGTTACACTGCAGCTGTAGCTGGCTGACACTATATGATAATCAGTATTTTAGTCTAATAGTCTTTTATATGTTAAACATATATGTCATTGTGTATGTTGAAAATCTAACTAAACTTCACCCGAAGAGTTTCAAATTTTAAGAAATAAAACTCTGTGAAGCCTCATACAGGTAGTACATCTACTCTATTTATAATCCCTTATATAAATACCAGTATATATAGATATTTACTAACTTCTACACACACAGATGGGAACTTCTTACCTCCTCATTGATTTGGTAATTGAACAATTCATTGTTTATAGTTCTGCTTTTATAGCAACCTTCAGATTCAAACCCGATATTAAAGTCCATAAGTTACAAGTTAGGTGTTGATGTGTTACCCTTGTATCACGCACCACACCCACATACAGGTATTGTCATTTTGGTGGAGCCTTCATACATGTACTTACAGCTGAAGTAATAGCAACTGATAAACAAACACTATCAACTAAATTTTAAATATTACATTGTACAGTGCATACATTTATGTATGAATTTTACAGTTCAAAGTACACTGACACACTTTCTTAAATAAAATTATAATACGATTTTAAGAAAATTCATTCTTTAATGATTTATTTAGAGTAATATTAATAATAGTGATATGACCTTACAGATGTATAAAAACACTGTAGGCAAAGTGACCAGCTTGTTAGAGATTGTTGTCCATGCATACCATACACAAACCATTGTTCAAGAATATAAATACGCCCAGTGGCTGTCCTTATCAGAATGGCTGTATCAAATTTATAGTTTACCAGATAAGAAGTTAATTGTGTTTATGTTAAATGGCTACAAGCTATTCCTGGGGGAGTGGGTTACAGCACCAGCAGGACTTTCTGATAGCACAAGTACACCAGGCTCAAAGACACAACCAATGTAAGCCTGGTCATTATTACAAGGACAGAAGACCTGTCAAGCATACACCATCATGAATATTCATGAATGAGGATGAGGGTCGTTCTGTTTCATCAGATGGGTTTGTGAAGATTCCTACAGTATCGCTGGCATGACTATGATTGCATTTGAGGATGTATAGCTGGCTGGTAGATATTACAATAAGGGTTTCTGGATCTGTTCATCAAGTGTGAAATCTCGGGTGTGTTCTGTAACAAGACCGTATGGATTAAGAATTGGGAGCATATAAACATTCAAAATATCCTGTCTGTATTGGTGCCACTGCTATGCCTGAAATTCAGTTATATTTGGGTGTTTCGATGTAAAATAATTTTGGAAAATTTGGAAAATTACTTTTATAAATGCTTAAAAACCTATTTCTCCTGGATCTTCAATGTCATATGGAAAGGAGACTTTGCAATATCTTGTGTTTGGGTTATCCCCAATTTCTGTATAGATATTGATGCATTACAGATCTTTTACCGGCCACCTCTATCTGTGATGTGTGTCAGACGCTTAATGGACTAGGATTGGACGGTCTAATCTGGAGTCAGTTTCAACTGTTTATATGTTGCTAAGAAAATGTTTTTGTGGGATATTTCATTGGATTATGCAAATTTGCACAGCCACCAGAGAGAAAAGATGGACATTACTTCTAAGTAAATGGCAATCTTAGCAAACAGGGTACAGCTATTGTGATAGTCTTATCTGCTGGTTTCATTTCTTAGCTGTGTATAATCTATTTCTTGGAGTCAGACTGGAGATCGATCAACCTAATCCAAGATATTTGGTGTCGTTATTATGGGATGCAAGTGTATAATGCAATGGCTACAGCTTCATGACAACTATTAATATAAATGGACAGAACACAGACTTTCTCTAGTCATTTAAACATCAGTTTTCTCACTAGAACATTTCTCTGCATGATCACTTGAACAGTGGTTTGCTCTTAGATTGCTAGAACACACACTTTTTCTTGTAAATACAAAAAGCAGGCTTTCATTTAACACTGATGGAAATCAGTTGTGTTTTCTTTAGATAGATCACAGGAAATACTGACAATGTGATGTACTTTTTCTTCGAAGACAAATGGCTCCATTTATGGTATTCATATATCCAAGATTTAAACAATATTTGCATTAGGACTGCATTAGTTTGTTCATGTAATATATTAACCTACTGCGTCAGCGTAACTGGTTTAAGTGAGACATTTGTAGATATCTGGATGAGGTCACAAGAGCTGATGTAGAGCTGTTTAAGTGAGACATTTGTAGATATCTGGATGAGGTCACAAGGGCTGATGTAGAGCTGTTTAAGTGCGTTATAAGGAGGACAAGTTAACAAAAATGTCGAAATTAAATTTTCTTATTGAAACTTAATTGGTTTAACCGGAGTGTGCCAATCAACACTGCAGCTGAAGGTGTTGGCGTGAATACTCAATACACCGAAGCATGGCTTGCATTCTCAAGCATTTAATTATTGATAGGAAAAAAGTTGAAGGCATGTGTAAATTTTACAAATGTTGTTCCCTTGATCAATAAATGTTTGAAGAAAGGGACACTGTGTGGTGCAGAAAGCTACACCAGGTAATAACTTGGAAATGTACATATACAGTTCAACAGTTTTAGCAAGTAAATATGGAATATTGCCATACTGGTATATCTGGATCTAGAACTTCATGCTAAAAACAAAGTGAGAAAATGTTAGTGGATCAATAGGAAATGTGTGCCTAGGAGGACTGGTTAGGTGTGTGATATATGTCAGTCTGGCTATGACAGCCCAAGCTCTCTCCTCACTGTAAACAAATCATTTGGTGTGTTTGTTGCATGTTCCCAGTATGGAGTATGTGACTCTATATGCCCTCATCGCTCTGATGTTGGGCTGGGCATAAAAGAGTCACTTCCATGTAGTAATGAAAGGAAAGTGCCAATTACTATGGAAGACAAAATAGTTAAACCCTGTTTGTTGGCATGACTGTGGTGGGTTCTGAAGTTAATGTAGCCTGTAGGTGGATTTAAGACTGTGAGGTGATATATTAGACGTAGTTCGTCACAGGAAAATTGATTCTTTTTGCCCTGTGAAATGTTCTGCCTGACCAGTGATCTACATTCAGTGATGAAATGTGTTTGGCCCTGTGTAAGTGATGACATTGATGTACACAGCTTGATCTGTTGTCAGTGTGTGTTCCTTCCTTCATGTGAACCGTGACCGAAACACCTTATCTGTTATAACGAACAGATTGGAAACCACGAATGATTATCAGTTTATCTGACAATATACCTAATTCATCAATGCAAACTGACAATAACTACAAATGCAAGTCTATATACACATCAAAGTATGCAGCAACTTCCAGAGAAGTAACTGATCCGTACATGGATAATTGTGGGAGACATTCTTGTAGTTCCTTGATCAATTAAGCCACTAGTTATACCTTATAATAAAAATGTATGTAGCAGTAACTGGGACCAACAAGCCTGCAGCTTCAACTGGTGAGTATTGCTATTGTATATAGTAACATTCCCTGGAACCAGTACTACCTGGAAAGGTGAGTATAGCTAAACATTGTATAATCATCTCAACTTCTACCTCAAAAGGTGAGTATAGCTATAAATATCACCACCTCTATCTCAACAGGTGAGTATACACTGTAGCTATAAATATCCCCACCTCTACCTCAAAAGGTGAGTATATAGCTATAAATATCACCACCGCTATCTCAACAGGTGAGTATATAGCTATAAATATCACCACCTCTCTCTCAACAGGTGAGTATAGCTATAAATATCCCCACCTCTATCTCAACAGGTGAGTAAAGCTATAAATATCCCCACCTCTATCTCAAAAGGTGAGTATAGCTATAGATATCACCACCTCTATCTCAACAGGTGAGTATAGCTATAGATATCACCACCTCTATCACAACAGGTGAGTATAGCTATAAAAATCCCCACCTCTATCTCAACAGGTCAGTAAAGCTATAAATATCCCCACCTCTATCTCAAAAGGAGAGCATAGCTATAGATATCACCACCTCTATCACAACAGGTGAGTATAGCTATAAAAATCCCCACCTCTATCTCAACAGGCGAGTATATAGCTATAAATATCATCTACTGTATCTCAACAGGTGAGTATAGCTATAAATATCACCACCTCTATCTCAAAAGGTGAGTATATAGCTATAAATATCATCTACTCTATCTCAACAGGTGAGTATAGCTATAAATATCACCACCTCTATCTCAACAGGTGAGTATACACTGTAGCTATAAATATCCCCACCTCTACCTCAACAGGTGAGTATACACTGTAGCTATAAATATCACCACCTCTATCTCAACAGGTGAGTATACACTGTGGCTATGAATATCACCACCTCTATCTCAACAGGTGAGTATACACTGTAGCTATAAATATCACCACCTCTATCTCAACAGGTGAGTATTGCTATAAATATCCCCCCCTCTATCTCAACAGGTGAGTATAGCTATAAAATATCCCCACCTCTATCTCAAAAGGTGAGTATATAGCTATAAATATCACCACCTCTATCTCAGCAGGTGAGTATACACTGTAGCTATAAATATCACCACCTCCATCTCAACAGGTGAGTATTGCTATAAATATCCCCACCTCTATCTCAAAAGATGAGTATAGCTTTAAATATCACCACCTCTATCTCAGCAGGTGAGTATACACTGTAGCTATAAATATCACCACCTCCATCTCAACAGGTGAGTATTGCTATAAATATCCCCACCTCTATCTCAACAAGTGAGTATAGCTATAAATATCCCCACATCTATCTCAACAGGTGAGTATAGCTATAGATATCACCACCTCTACCTCAAAAGGTGAGTATTGCTATAAATATCCCCACCTCTATCTCAATAGGTGAGTATATAGCTATAAATATCACCACCTCTATCTCAACAGTTGAGTATACACTGTAGCTATAAATATCACCACCTCCATCTCAACAGGTGAGTATTGCTATAAATATCCCCACCTCTACCTCAAAAGGTGAGTATTGCTATAAATATCCCCAACTCTATCTCAACAGGTGAGTATAGCTATAAATATCACCACCTCTATCTCAACAGGTGAGGAAAGCTATAAAATATCCCCACCTCTATCTCAACATGTGAGCATAGCTATAAAATATTCCCACCTCTATCTCAACAGGTGAGTAAAGCTATAAAATATCCCCACCTCTATCTCAACATGTGAGTATAGCTATAAAATATTCCCACCTCTATCTCAACAGGTGAGTAAAGCTATAAAATATCCCAACCTGTATCTCAATGGGTGGGTATAGCTATATCTGTCTCAGCTGGTGAGTATACCAGGTATATCCCCCACCTATATCTTAACAGATCAGAATAAAAATGGGAGTATTTATAAAGGACACATAGTTTATTAGCAACAATCTGGTATTTAGCTATTTTTACGAGCATGATACAACTATTTTATATCTGCTGTAAATTATGTGTTGAGGACTTTTTGTTGATAAAATTTGCTGGCTATGACGTTACATTCCACATAAATATCCATCTATGTTTTGTCTAGTCTAGGGTGACAGAATTATCTGAACATGAGAGTTTGCTATAAAGGAGGGCTGATAGGCTGCTGGACATTACCATTGGAGAGTTCATCTCTACCACAACCTAGATTATTATAGTTAACATTAAGGAGGGCTGATAGGCTGCTCGACATTACCATTGGAGAGTTCATCTCTACCACTACCTAGATTATTATAGTTAACCTGTCTGATTGTTTGGTAAAATGGTGGGGGTTTTTGGATGACAAAACATTGGCTAAGCTTGGGATACAGTCATTACACTTTAAAACTACTAGGTTATATTTTACTCCTAATTGTGTGTATTAAACATTGTTTACTGGTGTAAAGTATATATATATAGTTGACTGAGGGAAAGTTTCCTGGTGTAAAGTATATATGTAGGTATAGTTGACTGAGGGAAAGGTTCCTGGTGTAAAGTATATATATAGTTGACTGGGGGAAAGTTTCCTGGTGCACAATATATATATATAGTTTTGTGTGGGGAAAATTTCTCTTGTGCAGAGTATATATATATAGTTGACTGAGGGAAAGTTTCCTGGTACACAATATATATATATAGTTGACTGAGGGAAAGTTTCCTGGTGCACAGTATATATATATAGTTGACTGAGGGAAAGTTTCCTGGTGTAAAGTATTTATATATAGTTGACTGAGGGAAAGTTTCCTGGTGTAAAGTATATATATATAGTTGACTGAGGGAAAATTTCTTGGTGTTAAGTATATATATATTGTTTAATGAGGGAAAGTTTCCTGGTACACAATATATAAGTATATATATATAGTTGACTGAGGGAAAGTTTCCTGGTGCACAGTATATATATATAGTTGACTGAGGGAAAGTTTCCTGGTGCACAGTATATATATATAGTTGACTGAGGGAAAGTTTCCTTGTGTAAAGTATATAGAGAGAGAATGAATATTTTATGACTTATGTCCTTTAACTTTGTGTAAGTATGGATCGTATATAATCACAACCTTATAATAACCATGTCATAAATAAAGGATGACCTACTGTTTATAAAACTATTCAATCTGGTGCTCCATATTCTGTACGTCTAGAGGAGATAACTGCAGGCTGGTTTGTACACCGTTTTGAGGACTAGTATAGACTTTTTATCATTGTAAGACTTGGTGATGCCATGGGCCAGTCAACACTACAGGTAAACTCGGTGGCTTCCCTATGCATGTATTGGCCATGGTAACATAGTCAGATCAGACTGGTTCTACAAATCAATAGACGTATATATACAGACACACTATCAACACCAAAGAGGAATGCATGAGGAAGCTGTTAGGTCCTTAGAGGTGTATGTCTGTCAAAGAAATCATTTATAGCAATATCTAAATAGGAAGCTACATCATATAACTAAGCACAGGAGAAAATTTCTAATTAAGAAATAGATCATACTTTTGCAAATGTAACTGTCAGGTGAGTTGGAGTATACATCAAAACTTTAACTGATCATGATCATTCTTGTTATTAAGGACACCTGTAAATACTCTGTCAGTATTCATCAACTTTTATTATATAAAATTTAACTGATTTTAAACCCTCTTTATATGTGCTTTCTTATATGTTGTGGTTGATTGGAATTTTTACCCTGCAGTGACATTTGTAAACAATGTTAGTACTCTACCATTGAATGTATACCAGTACAGGTGTTTGTCCTGTACATTGTGACATGCGCTGTAAATATGATAATAGATTATTGTATTTTACAGGCCCAGAGATCAACCAAGTCAAGGATGCCTACATCATAGCTGTGGAAGATGAGGCCAAAAAGAGGCTTGAAAAAATCTCCTCCCGTCACCAAGTCGTCCCCGTGGATATGACAAAACTGTCACACGGCAGCAGTGCAAGCAGCAGTTCTTCCACCACTAGTACTACACGTGCAGAAATTCTCGTGGACTGTCGTAAGTTAGCTGTAGAGAATCCTGCATATGAACCGTCTTTGCTATCTAGTTCATCACACCATCAATTTGTTGGAAATGGACAAGTAGAAAACACCACAGACATGAATGGGTTTGCAGAATTGGACACGCCCCGAAAAGGGAAGAAAAAAGACAGTAAACGAAGCAGTAAATCTAGTAATAACAGTGGAACAGATTCTCCATTTATAGAGACTATCAGTGGCCACAATGTTCTCAAGCGGCGAAGTCAAAATTCCCTTAATAGGTCACGTGATGATGTGCAAGAATTTGAGGATAGTATGAGTGACGCTTACATGCAAAGTTCGTTTGAGGTTGAGTTTGATGACTCAGGTCCTCATCGTGAAATGGCAATTGATTGCCCGGATGATTTCCCTCCAGCTGTGAAGTCACCCCCTCGGTATCCCCCTCCTCCTCACTCACAGTCGTCCTCAACACGTTCGCTCCCACGTGCCCCTCCCTCAACCCCTGCCAAGTCATTAGATCTTGCCAATAACACAACCTCAACAGACAATACGTTAGAGTTTGTGGCAAATTCCGTCTCAAACGGCCATCAGAATTTAAGTGAAGACCAAGTGGAACGGATACGTAAACACCAAGAAGAGCTACGCAAGCGCAGGGATGAGGAAATCAGGAGAGCGCAAGAGCAAGAGTTCCTCAGGACTTCACTCCGGCGTTCTAAGAAACTGCAAGCACTGGAGACCTCGATGAAGCAGACTCCAGTTGTGGGAGTGGTCAACACGGCATATGAGGAGAATGACGATGAGGTGGAGGTGCTAGATGACGGCTTCGGCAGTGCCCGGGGATCATCACAACGGGACAAATACATGAAGAAAAATATAGGTTTGTATAAATTCTGGTTTTTTTCCTTAAGTAACACTACTTTGTGTACATAGAGACTGAGCATCTGATTATAACTTAACTCACAATACTGTGATATTTCAATTAGTCAAAGTCTGTTTTCAAGAGGATTGGGTATCCTAAAATGTGAAATAACCTGTTTATTGGCTAACTTGAATGATACAGGTACATCAGGATTGCCACTGACGATGTCCTAAGGTATTTATCAAATTTAAGCGAATACTTGTTTGATACCTAAGTCCATTCCAAGGATTCCTGTATGATATGAATATAAACTTTTGCTCACAGCCCTCATTTTAAAGGTTTGACGCTGACTCTCTGATGTGTTTTTGATGTCATACATTTCTTTAGCCCTATGCATCCCTGACAATCTGAGGTGTACATATACTAATGCAAACCTAGATTCCAATGCTTGACTGCATGTGTGCATTTGAACGTTTGCCAAGTTTGTGACAGGGAAATGCTTCAGGTGAATCTAAATGAGGTTATTGATTGTATCTAGAGAAATTGATGTTACTTGTTTTCTACCTGCATGTGCACTCGGTGTGTTTAAGTGAGTAATTTCTGTAATGTTCAAATAAGCCATCAAGAGCATAATAATTGTCTTATTATCAAACAGTAAACAATCAGATTAATTCTCTATGATATCGTTTTAGACATCGGTTTTTCTTCCTTATATATTTGAAAGCCAAAATTGGGGAAATCCCAAATCCAAAAGCTTCTTTTCTTGAAAGATATCCCCAAGTAATTTTACTGTAGATGATACTTTTAGCAGAATACAATTTACATGTAGTTTTCTAATTTTCCTTGATAACATACAAGAATTTCAGGAAATTGTACATTCTTTAGAAAAATGAAAGAAAGAGGGAAACGGAATGTCAATATTTAAAAAATCTTTAAAGCACTGTTTGTAACTTATAAGGAAATTGTGTATAAAAATATTCCTAAAATACTGAGGAAAACTTGGTCTGATCTTGTATCTTTATGTTATAAGAATGCCTCTTCTCTGCAGTTACCCAGGTGATCTGTTGGATAGTACGAAGCATGCAATTTATGTCTCAATGGAACTCACGTTACACCAATTCTGCCCTGTGTATAGGGATCTGTTACTTAGGTTGTACCTGTTGAACAGGCCTGTGACTGGAGATACATGTACGAGTTGTACACCAGGACACCTTTAGTATATAACTGTGTACCCTAGGGATTTACAAACTAAATATATTTGTATAGGTGTAGCTATTTTAAGGACTTGGACATACACTGAGGATTTTCTATAAGAAAGACATTACATGGTGTTTACGAGGGTGGCTGACTTTTGCTGTGAGTTAAATGGACTGTCCTGATAGTGCCCGAGGTCTACCACCATCACAGGAATGTGTCTGTGTGTTAGGATACACCGGTGCCACTGTCGTAGGAGATGGCTATTTAAACTATTGACACACTGTATCATTGGTAGATACCTACCAGTACTACTAGGCAATTCATTTACTTGAGCTTACGTCACATTTCCTCAACTAAAATTTCAAAATAGATTTTTTTTAGTTTCGAAATCTATTTTTATGATGTTTCTTGCATTGTCATCAAACATGTAATTTGGATAAATCATATTTTTTGAAAACGTAGATATTAATGTAAATTTGTTTAAATGAATCTGACTTTTAAGCAGTTGGCTGTGTATGCATGGTTATACAATGTATATATATGTATATGCTGATAGATATGTTACAAGTGTGATATATACATTGCTGTATAATATGTATAATTCGAGCTCTTCTGAAGACATTTTAAGGCACAGGACAATTACTTGTACGTGTCATTTACATTGGCTCACGATGACAAAGCTGCTGTGTAAAGTACTGTATGTGTACCCATAGTGTTTAAACTAATGTCTAAACACTTGCCCAGGTTTACTTAACTGGAAGAAGTTTAAGCTTCAAATTAAATATCAATACTTGTAAGAATTAACTTCATTTTAATTTAATATCATTTTGCCTTAATTGTTTGTGTATTCAACCACAAATTTCTTAAGGTGATGAAAATCGTAAAGAATATTATTACTAATGCTTCTGTTTTTCATTGTATTATCATAAGAGAAACTAATATAAGGTTTCCTGCACACAGAATACGGTGTCTTCTGTTTACACATTTTATTTTGTACTCCCATTTTATTACACCTATTGTGATCTATAACACCCATTGTAACACATCCATTGTTATCTATTACATCCATTGTTTTTACACCCATTGTGATATATTACACCCATTGTCATCTTTTACACCCATTGTGATTTTTTTACCACTTATTGTGCTCTATTACGTACACTTACTGTGATCTTAATGTCCCCGTTACTTGTCACAGTTGTGAATCTGTTACACCCATTGTGGTCTGGTACACCTATTGCAATACCTGGGTTCTCCATATTTTCTATTTCTACCATTATGTTACTGTAGTATATCTGTCTTGGTATACCATGTGTAGCTAGTTTATATGACCCTGCAGTGTGATAATGGCCTTATCTTATTGACCGGCCAAAAGCTTCATCAAATTAAATCAGAAAAAACTCTATCAAAAAGAAATAGGTCATATTCAGTTTTTGTACATCCTTTGTTGTACAATGCACATTATGGGAGTTTAAACTATCCTCATTGCTATCAATATGAAAAATCACTTACTGCCTATAGCTAAAATATGGCTAGGTTGAGTGACAATTGACAGACATGCATCATAATTGTTAATGAATTTGAAAATGTGTGGTTCGATGTTTTCCATATTTAACTGGTACATCATCATCATCATCATCATCATCATCATCGTTATCATACAAGTACTGATAAAAAGTCATGTTTTGATGCACAATCAATGTTCTGTGTCCCCTGCGAAGGTAACATACATGTACATAGGAACATCTCTCTGTCAATATCATCTTCACAAATGGTTCCCATGTGATCACTCTTGTTGATGGTGTGCTTTGATTTTCATGAAATTTGTTACACATACATAAAGTTTCAATGACCCTCCTGCTCAAGGATGATTTGACTACAATCTGAAAAAAACATGGCCACCAGCATCCATCTTAGATTTTGTGAAAAGTCACATGGTTTGTGTGTAATAACCTTTCATGAAATGATTTTATTTTCTTGAAACTTTCTACACATGTCTAAAGCATCAACTACCTACTCCTGTTAAATTTGACCCAAATGTGAAAATCAACATGGCCGCCTGAGCAGGGGAAGGTGGCACACCCACTTCATTGGAAATCTTCCTTTTATCATTTATCCAACATCCAAGAGGGCCAATTATTTCAAGTACTGTATCATGTTACAGTCATTTAGGGCTATAACTTGTTTTGTTGAGCTGATATTGCTTTTATTCTGTAAAAATGATACACGAGGGGATTTTTACATGATATCACCAACTTGAAAGTTTCGGTACTAGTACTTCAGAATACTGCTGAGGCATCTGAATGGTCGCACCTTTAGAAGTATAATAGAGGTTCTATCTGCAGACTGATTGTAATGCTCCATAACAAAAGTGTAGGTACTGTAAACCAGCATCTTTTGTGATTGAAGGAATAGCTAGTCTGAAGTACAAAGTACTGTCTGGTACAAATAGCACTTGTTATGTAAATTTAAAGGTTACATTAAACAATGTAAACTCGAGATGGACCTGTTTCCTGTGTCAGAATATATACTTTACCTCATTTTCTTATAATTCTGACTTCTTCTTTCAGGAGTAGACGATTTATTTTCAACGCTGCATCACATACAGAGCCGACTTAATGCTGCTGAGGAAAGAGATGAACTCTCTTTTTTGAAAAACTTGTTTCACAGCAGTGAGTTTCAAAATGCTGTACATGTGCACAGTAAAATTACAGACATTTCTCGGCAATCTCCACCCAACAAGCCAGAGTGTACAAATGCTGTACAGATTTCTAATGAGGTGTTCCAGGCACTGCAGTACACAGAGTCTCCATACTCGTCAGATCTGATGGACATGCTCAGTCAGCCAGGACTGCGGGTATGTACATGACTGCTGATGAAGACACATCCATGTTTATTTTTTTATATGGACTCCACAATAGGTCTCATAATCACACAGGATCCTACTTGGTTTACAATACCTTTTCATGCTAATTTCATAATGTATATTCAAACCATCATAATTCTGTTTATCAGAAAGCTTACCAGATTTACAACTTTATGTTATTGAAAATGAACATCTCAGTTTCTATAAGCTGGAATGTTGTATTTTACATTTAGGCTTATTTCAATAAAACCAATTAAAGAAATGAGAATAAATCAGCTATGCCTAAAAACAATTTTTGTTCCGCTAAAAAACCCTTCTCAATACATAAGGAGTAAGTGTTGATTCATTGTTTACCACTTGTAGAACCTTCTGCGAGCCCATGATAGTATAGCAGAACAAACCTCCAAGCCAGCCGTCCACGAGAATGTGGATGACCTGCAGGACTATCCAATCACCTCTTATGGAGAGGATACAGTACGAATTGTCTACCTGGAGAAGACCAGTGAGCCCTTGGTATGTAGTATAGGTTTAAACATGTTGATATACACTTGTATATAGTACATAAAGTCGTTTGTGAAATACCTGTAGAGTACCTAATGTTGTTAGTTAGTGAAATTCACAGATGAAGCTGTAATGGCTGAAGACGTACCTTGTTTTGTCATGTCTGTTTAGTTTATACTAAGTATTCATTATGAGTGTTGCAGTATTTCAGTTCCGTTTTGATACTTTAGACATTATTCCACCTTACACTATAGTGGATATTGAGGAAGTAAACTTTATTCCACCTTACACTATAGTGGATATTGAGGAAGTAAACTTTACTCCATCTTACACTATAGTGGATATTGAGGAAGTAAGATAAATGCAGTTAAATTTTGTCATTACACATTTAGTTATATCAAATATCAAAGATTTATTTACACACTTGTCAATACACATTTAGATATATCAAATATCAAAGATTTATTTACAACTGCGGTGACTTTCTATATAGCTATGTGAAAAGGTTTGAGTGTACCTTGATATTTGTTACTATGATTCCCTTGGTTATTTACAGGGTGCTACTGTACGTAATGACGGGGAGGCCATCATTATTGGGCGGATAGTCAAAGGAGGTACAGCGGAAAAGAGTGGTGAGCTTTTATCTCATTAGTTTATATTATATGTTAACTTCCACCATAATGTGCGAAATTAGTAACCATTGCAATTTCAAACATTTGAAAAAAAGAACTCTGATTAGAAATAAATAACTGTCATCGGTGTCATCCTATCTGTCGGCCACAGCAGAATCTGATAACACTGATGTACAGACGGCTCATTAGAGTTGTCTTTAGTCAGTTCTCATCAGTGGAATTAAACTGTCAGATGGTATTTGATAATTAGAAATGAGTTACAGAGATTGTGTTTATATTCCAGGCCTATTACATGAGGGAGATGAAATTCTAGAAGTAAATGGAGCGGAAATGAGAGGCAAAAATATCAATGATGTATCTGACATGCTGGTATGTATAGAAAATCAATAGGGCAGGTTGTCACTCAGTGTTGTTCATATAGGTCACATGAGTGGTGTATGGAATGGCCAGGCAGTGAAGAAAAAAGCAAATATGGTAGCATTTCAGCTGCAATGTATAAAATCAATACAGAGATGGCAAAAGTTGTCATATAATTATAAAACACTGATTTCTTTTGATTTTTTTAAGTTGGAAAAATTAATAAATTATTATGTGAATTGGTCAATAGATACATTGTATATAAGGAGTTGAAAATAGAAATCAAATAAAATACAACTGTATGATATCTAACAATTTTCCCGAAATTTATCATGTTTTACGAGGGCTACATGACATCTCCAATGATACCTACCAAATACCTGCTACCTTATTATTTCCTTCACTCTGACCTCACAATACAAAGATAAGTAAACAGGATAAATAGTGCCAAATAGCTTCAATTAAGTGCTGTGCCAGGTCTGACCATTAAATAATCTGCTTGAGGCAAGTGAAAATTACAGAAATTTAATATAGAAAGAGTTATATCCCTTTAATTGGTGTCGTGGGGAAAATTAACTCAATCAAAACCATTTAAAATCAAATTTAATGATGGGTTTAAAATAATATTGAATCATAACAAGGGACAAACATTTGAATGCGAGGGGGGTGGGGGGGTGTTAGTATTTATAATGCCGTGAGGGGTAGTGTTTATAATGCTGGGAGGGGTAGTATTTATAATGCCGGGAGGGGTAGTGTTTATAATGCCGGGAGGGGTAGTGTTTATAATTTATAGAGCCTAAGCTTGTTGTGGTGGGTTTAGACTAAAATGTTCTTTAAGCTACATCTTTGACCCCTACCCTGTATATGCTGCAAAGGAATTATAAACTGAACTTTAATAGAGATACATGTGTGCTAGGCTATTGTTCAGCAATTAAAGTTCTGAATATTCACCAGCATATTCTTTATATAAGTAAAAGTTTCGCATTTTTATGAAGATAAAATTTTATCAATTTAAGGTAATAGGATTGTATCGCCATTTCTCAGTAGAATTTATTCAAATTTTGTAGTTATATTAGTTTGAAGTAAAGAAAATTTTCTGCCACAAAAAAAATATAGGTTGTCTGAATTTTAAGGATTTTAAATGGAAATTAATGTAAAAAGGATTGAATTTTGAAAAAAGACTTGAAACACACATTTTTTTGGCAAAATAATGTCAATAAAAATGATACTAACATAGATTAGTATTGCATTAACGTATATTAATTTCATAAATGCTGAAATTGTGTAAAATTAATCATCTATAAACGATTAGAAATTGACATTTTATAATAACCCATATACACATAGTAACTGCATGCAATGAGTTATTGTACTTGGAAAACTTCACAGTAGTGAAATAGGTAGCCGGTTTCCTGAAGTACAGAAAAATGGACACATGTGACTCATTGATCAAAAAACAACTGAATTAATGCCTGGATTGCTTTGAAATAATTTAATATTGAAAGAACACACTGTTCTGTCTATAATAAGCATACAATATTCATCAGTTTAATATTAAACAATAGAATATGCGGAAATTGTGATACTGTCTCCCTACATTGGGTTTTCAACTAGGGATGTACTTCCTACTTCCGTTTAGCAATACACTCCTATGACCTTAAGGCAAGCTGAAAACTTTCAAATGTGGTCTTTTTTTCAGGCTGACATGACAGGCACCATCACTTTCATGATCATTCCATCTGCCAATTTTGCCAAAACCTCCTCAAATGGCCCAGTGGTAAGATATAATAGAGCTTTTATTCCTTTTTGTTTTTCAGTGCAAGAATTTTCTTTGTGTATAATGTTCAAAAATAGTGATTTTAGATTTCCGATATAGAGGTTCAAAATAAGGACTGGTTTGCTTATCCTGATACAGCACTTCTAATACTTTGAAAACATCATTTCTAATTTGTAAAGAATACCTTACCAAAACAGCATGATACTCATGAATTTTGTGTTATAATAGATGCATGTGAAGGCCTTGTCTAACTACGATCCTGAGGATGACATCCTGATCCCCTGTCGGGAGCTCGGTATCTCTTTCATGAAGGGAGATATCCTCCATGTGATTAACCAGGAAGACCCCAACTGGTGGCAGGCATACCGGGAAGGGGAGGAAGAGCACCAGTCTCTGGCTGGGCTTATCCCGTCCCGTCACTTCAGACAGCAGTAAGTATACTTAACCCATCCCGTCACTTCAGACAGCAGTAAGTATACTCATCCCGTCCCGACACTTCAGACAGCAGTAAATAAACTTATCCTATCCCGTCACTTCAGCCAGCAGCAAGTATACTTATACCATCCCGTCACTTCAGACAGCGGTAAGTATACTTATCCCATCCCGTCACTTCAGACAGCAGTAAGTATACTTATCCCACCCCGTCACTTCAGACAGCAGTAAGTATACTTATACCATCCCGTCACTTCAGACAGCAGTAAGTATACTCATCCCGTCCCGACACTTCAGGCAGCAGTAAATAAACTTATCCCATCCCGTCACTTCAGCCAGCAGCAAGTATACTTATCCCATCCCGTCACTTCAGACAACAGTAAGTATACTTATCCCATCCCGTCACTTCACACAGTAGTAAGTATACTTATCCCATCCCGTCACTTCAGGCAGCAGTAAGTATACTTATCCCATCCCGTCACTACAGACAGCAGTAAGTATACTTATCCCATCCCGTCACTACAGACAGCAGTAAGTATACTTATCCCATCCCGTCAGACAGCAGTAAGTATACTTATCCCATCCATTCTTATCCCGTCCCATCACTTCAGACAGCAGTAAGTATACTTATCCCAACCCGTCACGTCAGACAGCAGTAAGTATACTTATCCCATCCCATCACTTCAGACAGCAGTAAATAAACTTATCCCATCCCGTCACTTCAGCCAGCAGCAAGTATACTTATACCATCCCGTCACTTCAGACAGCAGTAAGTATACTTATACCATCCCTTCACTTCAGACAGCGGTAAGTATACTTATCCCACCCCGTCACTTCAGACAGCAGTAAGTATACTTATACCATCCCGTCACTTCAGACAGCAGTAAGTATACTAATCCTACCCCGTCACTTCAGATAGTAGTAAGTATACTTATCCCATCCCGTCATTTCAGACAGCAGTAAGTATCCTTATCCCATCCCGTCACTTCAGACAGCGGTAAGTATACTTATCCCATCCCGTCACTTCAGACAGTAGTAAGTATGCTTATCCCATCCCGTCACTTCAGACAGCAGTAAGTATACTCATCCCGTCCCGACACTTCAGGCAGCAGTAAATAAACTTATCCCATCCCGTCACTTCAGCCAGCAGCAAGTATACTTATACCATCCCGTCACTTCAGACAGCGGTAAGTATACTTATCCCCTCCCGTCACTTCAGACAGCAGTAAGTATACTTAACCCATCCCGTCACTTCAGACAGCAGTAAGTATACTCATCCCGTCCCGACACTTCAGGCAGCAGTAAATAAACTTATCCCATCCCGTCACTTCAGCCAGCAGCAAGTATACTTATACCATCCCGTCACTTCAGACAGCAGTAAGTATACTTATACCATCCTGTCACTTCAGACAGTAGTAAGTAAACTTATCCCATCCCGTCACTTCAGACAGCAGTAGGTATACTTATCCCATCCCGTCACTTCAGACAGCAGTAGGTATACTTATCCCATCCCGTCACTTCAGACAGCAGTAAGTATCCTTATCCCATCCCGTCACTTCAGACAGTAGTAAGTATACTTATCCCGTCCCGTCACTTCAGACAGCAGTAAGTATACTTATCCCATCCCGTCACGTCAGACAGCAGTAAGTATACTTATCCCATCCATTCATTTCAGACAGCAGTTAGTATACTTATCCCATCCCGTCATTTCAGACAGCAGTAAGTATACTTATCCCATCCCGTCACTTCAGACAGTAGTAAGTATACTTATCCCATCCCGTCACTTCAGACAGCAGTAAGTATACTTATACCATCCCGTCACTTCAGACAGCAGTAAGTATACTTATACCATCCCGTCACTTCAGACAGCAGTAAGTATACTTATCCCATCCCGTCACTTCAGACAGCAGTAAGTATACTTAGATCTCTTACCTTCTACTAGCAAAAATAAATTGTTTCCGTAGTGATTTCTATCTACTACTGGTATTTTGAAAAGAATTGTTGAATTTGATGAAATCTAAAAAAAACACTAAAAAAACCAGTTCAGCCCAGGCCTACTTTGGGTTAAAAGTGAAACTCATTCATTCCCAAAACTCACAAGACACAACTGTTCCTAACCTTTTTAGAAACATTGTCTTCATAAGACAGGGGTCACTCTATACAGTGGGTCATTACATGCATATTCAGGTGAGCATTACAGGCCCATGCGCCTTTTTATTCTTTTTCATTAATATCTCATTTCCCATTTATTTTATCCTGCAGAGTTGAAGCCAATAGGAAAATTTTAGCTGGTGAAAACAAAGAAAATCAAAAGACGGGACGGTCATGTGCCTGTGGAAAGAAAGATAAAAAGAAAAAGAAGAAGTCATTGTATAGGGAAACAGATGGTAAGAAAACATGATAGTGAAAGAACAAGTTAAACAGCTGTGTTAGAGAGAGAAGACGAGTGAGGTTTATTTGAGGTTTATTAATATATTTTCTTTAAATAGATCAATAACTGTAATAATGTGAGAAAGGAATCCTGGATAATTCATTATCTTCTGGGATATTTTTACTTTGGTAAAATATTGGTCCTACTAAAATAAGATAGATTATAACAGTGCCATATTGATCAAATTACCAATGAAAAGAACACATGAACTGAAAGTGGGGGCACATGAACGCACTACAATTAACCCCAGCAGGAAGTAATGGTGCATTGAAGTGAAAGCAGTTTGACACAATTTTAACAAAAAGCGTTTAAAAGGTTTGATATTTAATCTGCATTTGCTCCAGTAACTTTTTCTCTGTTAAAACCAGACATAGAGGAGCCAATACTGACCTTGATCGTATGAGTCATATATAAACTTGTCCTGTTACAGATACAGAGGAAGCCCTGACCTACGAGGAGGTTGTTCAGTACTACCCACAACCCAACAAGAAGCGCCCGATTGTTCTGATAGGTCCTCCAAATGTAGGTCGCCATGAACTTAGACAGAGACTCATGGAGTCCGACTTGGACCGATTTGCTGCTGCTGTCCCTCGTAAGTATCCATAACTTTGTACCTTAGTGTATCTGTCCTACATTTAGCTTATCAGTGTCTATATTACCTTGGTATGACCAGAAATAGTAACTATCAGAAATCACTACATAATAAATAATAAGAGTACTTTCATTACTAGAAATAGTGATGATCAGAAATTAAATATAAACTTTATTTATTTTACAACAATTATGAAACCAGCTATTACAGCCTATATTAATTATAATCACTCTTGTTGACCCCGATGTTTGTAAGTGTGGGGAGGGTCTTATTATGTGAGGAAACCGGAGAACCCAGAGAAAACCCACATGGTCGTGCAGGTGACCCCTTGGTGATAGGCAAGTGCACTGCACCACCCGACCATCTAATAAAAAAATAGTCCCTGTGTAAATGAACAGAAATAAAAGCAATAAGATTTCAGACCCTACATAGCAACTTACACCAGCAGTTTTAAAGTATTTGATCACCTGTTAACCAGATACCTGCTATTTTAATGTATTTGATCACCTATCAACCAGACACTAGCCGTCCACAGGAAGAGCATGAAGTGGATGGGAAGGATTACCATTTTGTACCTCGTGCCATATTTGAGGCAGACATCATTGGACGAAAGTTTATAGAGCAAGGAGAGTTCCAGAAGTCATTGTATGGCACAACATTTGGTGCAGTCAGACAGGTCATCAACCAGGGCAGGATTTGTATCCTCAACCTTCATGCTGAGGTAGGAACCTCCAAATTTCCACTCTAAAAATATATATTTTAATGATCATTACAATCCTTTTGATAATGTTCAGATTCATTTATCATGCATTTTTCTACCCTTCGCATATTTGTTTCCTATTTGAGATGTGATTGATTTCTCTGTCTTCCCCTAGGATATGACAGTGTGTGGCATGCTATCTTCAGATTGTGTGGGAGGAGGGAATTCATCTTTGTTTAAAACCATTATATATTTATGTTTCTGTTGTTGCAGACTTTGAGAGAGTTATATACATCCGACCTGAAACCGTATGTGATTTTAGTGTATCCACAAAACATGGAGAAACTGAGACAAATTCAACAACGACTGGGACAGACCAAAATCACTGTAAGACATTGTGTACTAAAGGGACATAACTCTTCAGGACTTAGGTTCATTGATAAAGTTGTTACTTAGTTCTGTATGCTATTCTCTGTCATATTTCCCTTTATTTTTTTTACTGGGAATATTTCAGGGGTAATTTGTTCACCTTATGGTAACCAGATTACTTTTTCAATGGAACATTAATAAAAATGTTTATTCTGTAACAATAATTGTTTTAATTTTAGTCAGACATCAATCAAAAAGGAATATAATAATTTATTCTTACAGAGAGTGTTTTCAAAAAATCCGTTATAACAGTAATGTAAGACTGATATTGTTTTCATCTTCTGTAGGATGAGGATCTGAAGGATACTGTTGATCGAGCACGTGAGATGGAAGACAAGTATGGACACCTGGTCGACTTCATCCTCGTCAACTCAGACATGGACTTGGCATATGAGGAGCTCCTCAAAGAAATAAATCGGATAGAGGTGGAGCCTCAGTGGGTACCCGCCCACTGGCTGACGAGTGACAGGTGACTTCTCTCCCTGAAGACAAGATAGTGGTGTCACTTGATGGTTAACACTGCCCATTTATAGATGAACAACTCCATCCATACATTGACATTATTTTCTGAAGGATAAGGTACAGGATGTAGGGGGGGCAGAAAGGCCCTGTAATCCATTGACATGTGACCTTCCCCAGTTTGGTAATGGAAGAGTCAATGTCAAGGCTCCCTCTGTGAATCAGTTATTTGATTGGCTCCTAATAGTATACCTCAAGATAACAATGAGGTACAGCATAATCAGCCCATTAGGAGAACAGGGATGTGTATTTAGCTAGATGTATACCTAGTCCTAAGAGTGTATGCCTTTCGTAGGATTTTAGGACGGTTTTATTGTGTACAGAAAGTGCTCTAGAGAGTGGAATCATGTAATCTTCCATAGTTTTAATATTTTTAAACTACCAGATAGACTACGCACATAACATAATTTGTATATGGAACTAATGTTATGAGGATCAGCTTGCCATTAATAATTGTGAAATCAGATCAAAATAACAAGGTAAGAAATTAACACTGCTAAACACTGGATGTTGGGTGTACATATGCATACCTACTATGTACCCAGATGGGTGGATGACCAAGATATAGCTACCAGCTCTGCTAGAAAAAAAACTGTTTTATAGGAATTACAGTCCGTCTTTATATCTTTTATCTAGTACAGAAACAATAAACATAACATGGTATTCAGGATAGATACTATATAGATGTCTAGTAGAATCACACAGAAATATGATATGTATAAGGATACAGTATAATATTAAGTTTTTGCAGCATATTTACTTTTGCAGCTTTTGTCGTTGAAGTCGAACCACAAAACATACGAGTAATTTAATTGACTCCACCGGTATTTCAAAAGAGCAGAACTGTCCTTACTGCGACAGAAACTACCCAAAAAGGTTTGATCATATTGTATTACAGTACAAACTTAACAATTGTATTAATGTAGGGAAGTGAAATCACAGAGTTGGGTTAGCATACAGGAAATGTCAAAGGTTGGCTAGGATACAAGATAGGTCAAAGGTTGGCTAGGATACAGGATAGCTGAGAGGTTTGATAGGATACAGGATAGATCAGGTTTAATAGGATACAGGTTAGGTCAGAGGTTGACAAGGATACAGAATAGGTCAGAGGTTGACAAGGATACAGGAAATGTCAAAGGTTGACTAGGATATATTAAATGTAAAAGGTTGACTAGGATACAGGAAATGTCAAAGGTTGACTAGGATACAGGAAACGTCAAAGGTTGACTAGGATACAGGAAATGTCAAATGTTGACTAGGATACAGCAAACATCAAAGGTTGACTAGGATACAGGATAGGTCAAAGGTTGACTAGGATACAGGAAATGTCAAAGGTTGACTAGGATACAGGAAATGTCAAATGTTGGCTAGGATACAGCAAACATCAAAGGTTGACTAGGATACAGGATAGGTCAAAGGTTGACTAGGATACAGGATAGGTCAGAGGTTGAATAGTATACAGGATAGGTCAGGTTTAATAGGATACAGGATAGGTCAGAGGTTTAATAGGATACATGATAGGTCAGGTTTAATAGGATACAGGTTAGGTCAGAGGTTGACAAGGATACAGGATAGGTCAGAGGTTGACAAGGATACAGGATAGGTCAGAGGTTGACACGGATACAGGATAGGTCAGAGGTTGACATACAGGATAGGTCAACAAGTATACCGATAGTTCAGAGGGGTCAAAGGTTGACAAAGATACATGATATGTCAGAGATTGGCTGGGATACATTATAGGTCAGAGATTGGCTTGGATACATGATAATTGAGAGTTTGTTAGCATATTTTCATTGTTGTATGCAGATTGTCATAACTTTTCATTTATTTTACATATTTTATGAAGTGTCTTCCGGTTGACTGTTTTTTTAAAGACATATTTTATTCATCGGTTGAAAAGTCCAGTCTAGTTCCTGTTCCTTATTCGGCTGATATCAAGTGCCACATGTACATCTAATCACTGTGTTATACATCATCATGTGTATGCTGGGTAAAAGTTGACTGTGGAACAGGACCTGGACCACACAGTGACATGTGTACAGTGTCTAGATACACGTCCATCTGTCTGGCTTGTTTTTCTTGATAGAATTGCATTCCATCCATTCAATATAAATTATATATATTCTTATTGTTAATAACATTGTTATCCGTCAATTCTGATAACATTCACATATCATCCAGACATTTATATTTGCTGAACAGAGTGTTTCTGTCTCTGTTTACTTTTGAGTAGGAACTGCGTCCTTCTTGTAAATTTCAAAATTTCTTCCTTTAATCATGTGATATCTATCGACGTCACTATGACGTACCAGTGGTATCAAGCATCTCTAGTTAATAATGATTTCTTGAAACTGCGGAAGTGCAAGTATTTGTGTGTCTTGTATCAGGGCATTCTTTTTATCCATAGACTGTTTGAAGTTGTAATAATTACAAAGAAATCATAGATTTAAATGTTGTTCAATTGTATAGATAAACCAATGAATCGAGAAAGACCTGATTCCTGGTTGTATAGATGTACATGCTCACTTTGTCTACATAGGCCAGGTTTCCTGGACATACAGCTGTACATCAGAACCATACCTGCTGTGGAATGTTGAGAGCACTACACTGGGACGTCTATATACAATGTATTCTAAAGTATAAATCAACAGTTAACAAGTTTTATATAACATTTCAGAATGTTTTCATTTCTGAACATAACCTTTGTGTAGATATTTATGTATTGAAAAGTTTACGTACTTCAAAGGAAGGAAGCACACAATTCTATATAATGTTTTTATACATAGAGCAAGCATGTTCAAGGTTCGTGTGTAGAAACTTCTAACGACAAGTAGCACAAGTTCTTTTTAGTGAACTTTTATGGTTGTTTAAATATTAATTCAAATTGGTTGTTTATATATGTATCAACATTAAACAAGGGACACAAGGACAGTTGTTTTCTAAGTCAAGGTCGACATAATATTATGTCGGTTCATGTTTTATACTGTTATTGCGTCATTTTCTATTCCTCATTAATACATTTAAAGGTTAGTTGTGAGAATGAGTTTTTGCCCAAATTAACTGATATATTACGCCGTTTGTATAGGAACTACTCACATTAATGCGTTTTGGTTGCATTACTGTACATGTACCAAATATAACCATTATATAGAAACTTAAAACCTATAATACCTCTGTCATTCTAACTGTTCAATGTGGACAATGATTAATTACATCATGGTTGTGAGATAATAAGTATCAGTCAACAGACATTGTGTCATTTGATCCAAGCAGACAACCAAATTCTATAACCAGAACCCTTCCTGGATAGGTTTCTCAAATCTCTTCATACAAGTTCAGTTGAAACATTTTCCCATATAGCAGACCATTGCACCTGTACTGGTGGAAAACAGCGCTGTTGGTAACTTTATTAAAGTCAAAGGATTCTGTCAGAATTTTAAATTACAGAGAAAAATATCGAACTTTTTTCTTTGAGAATAAATTAGATTTTTTATTTTTTTATGTTTTCTGTAAAACAATTAGTATGCATGGTAATATAAAGGAAAGCATGCATGCTTTTTCTGATTAATGTAGGAAAGGAGGAGGTACATGTTTTAATCACGGTGCTAAAATATACATTGAACATGTCTACTTGCCTTTTATGTGAAATGATTTAGAATTTCTGTGTTGTAATGTTGGGATGTCGTCACATATCTGGTAGCCATTCTTAAACAGGTAACAAGATGAAATCATGTGTATTAATGTAATGTAAACCAGCACAATCATGTAAAATGTAGTTTATAGTTAAGTTTGTACACATTTACAAGGGAAGAGATAATGTTTTTTTATGATTATGTCTCCAAAGAGAAACAAATGTAAAACAGAAAAACAAATGTAAAACAGAAAAACAAATGTAAAACAGAATTCTTACAAATACATGATGAAAATAAGTTAAATTTCAAGTCACTCCATCTGAGACTCAGTCTGGAAATCTTGTACAATTTGCCTTTTTTCAGTGTCAATATTAAAATAGTTTGAAAATGTATTACTTCACTTTGGCTCAAATATATTGAATCGTTTTGTATAAAACTTGTTTAGTATGCTTATTCTCACGATTGATCTGTGTGCTGTCCGTCTTGTTAACACTCTGCTTGTTATAATCACGTATAGGTTGTTTATAGTGCTGGCGTATTACATTTCATGGATTCATCTTGTGTTATCAAGCATATAAACATTTCATGACAACAAGAAAATAGACTTTCCTGATTTCTCCATCACATGTTTTAGAATTTATTGTTGTGTTATCATCATGAATTTTTCAATTGATGCGTAAGCTGGGCTCAATTTTACATATATATAACAGACATTAAAATTTAAGGTTTATTTTAATTTCTTTGCTATTATATATAATTAATTTCAACTGTGAAAGAAATACACATCACTTCAATATCTTTCAATCAATAAATACTGACTTTGATTGACATGCAAACAGAAAATTACTAACATTACTAAATTTGAAAACAGTTTTAATATTTGCCTTTTTTTTATTCAGAAATATAATTACATGAAGTAAGTTCATTAAGCTGCATTGTGTACAGCTGTACTTCGTTGACAGGTTTTATTTGGAAATTGAAGTACAGAGATGCAGTTAAGTTCAATAATTAAAGATGTAACAGATTATGTAAATTGAGCTGAAGAGAATGTTACCAGAGTTGATATTATTGTCTGTACAGATTTTTATGTTATTACGTATGTGGATAGAATGTTTAAAGTGACAGAAGATAGGTTAATTGGATGGCTTAGGATGGCACTAGTGAACTCTAGGGCCAGGTTGTAGGTTTGTGTGCTATACTGCACTGTTAGTGAAGACAGTTCCTCCAAGATTATATTTTCTGCTGGTGACACCCATACATATGAAAGAATAATTGTATAGGTTTGATTCTCATTATTTCCATTTTATCAAGTATGAAAACAGCCCTTTATACATGTAATGTTTTGTTTGTTTAATATTGCTTATGTTTCCAATCTCTAACAGAGGTGAGTGGTTATTAGTAGGCCCAACCCTTTTTGTGTAATGTAAACCTGGCTGTGCTTCGTAGCTTGTAGGTACAGTGGGCAACATGGAACACGATAAGGGAGGTGTTTGGATGATGCTTCAAAGTCCAGATAACTTTGTCAGAACACTTGTAAATCTGTCACAAGCGAACAAACTGTTGTCAATGATGAGGTAAATGTAATTGTGACATGTTGACCTTAAAAGTAGTCAGGGAGAAGTTTGTTATATTTTGTGGAAAGTTTATTGAACAAAACAGTGCAATGAATTTATTTTTTGTCAAGTTACAAACATATAGAGAAGATAGAAAATGTGTAAACCACAGTTATAAATACAGTTATTATTTTGTAAATAGGCTATATGAGTGTACATATTTGTTTTGTAAGAAAATCCACACTAGTAAGTAATCTTCTGATATACGGGACTGGTTTTCTATATTGTAGGTCATGATTGATCACATTGCAAATACAATAAATACAATTATTTTCATACACATAACATTGCTATATATGATGTAACTTATTCAGACTGTACAGATATGTACCACAGATATTAAAGCTGTCAAGCAAGATTTGTCATGTTGGTTGTTTGTTTGTTACATATTGCTTTGGTAATTTTCTCTGAGGATATATTTCCATGGTAAGGAAAGGAAAACCTGGAGACTAAGAACTATTTTCACTTACCAGGGGTATTTGACCTTTGACCTTTGAGATGAGATCACAATGATGAAACTGGATAATGTTATTTGATAAAGAGTGACACAATACTAAGGAGGTCTTCCATTTAGTGGCTTGTACGTTGACAGTAAACGTTTACACTGCAGCCTATACCATACTGGTACCCAAGGTAGTGAATATAGCAAGTTTTATTGATCTCTTTTGAGTTGACGCATACTTCATACATTATCGGTTTGAAATGAACCAGTTCAGAAATTCATGATCATATTATTGAGGGGTATGGTGCAGCATAATTCATTTTTGTCCTACTTTTTCATCCATTACATTTGTCTGACGTTCATCTTTCTTGGGTTAGTGCGTTATATTGAGGTTTATAACTGTCTTTATTATACCTCTACTTATTTTACACTATACAAAAGTAACCACATAAACAAGCTATTTCCCCTCTAACTGCATGCCAGGGAAATAGTTCGTCTGGAGGGGTGCGATAGTTTTGAAACTATTTCCCTCTGAAAATGCGGGACATTGATTGACGTCGTGGGCGGGGCCTGACCGAATATTGACCAATCAGCGCAACCGAATTACGTCGGCAATTTCCGGCCAGCGGAGTCGGTACTTTCTGGACAGACCTTCACCTCGCATTGTTGTTGACAGACGACAACAGAAATGGCGACCCCCAGGTTTTCTGTGTTGGACGAGAGCGAGTTGTCGGACATATTGGAGGCAAAAGAC